CTCGACTGGAAATTATAAATTGTAAATTTTTCTTATTTTAAGGTCAAAAATATTAAATAAATGCTAGAGTTTTAGTTAGAAGCAGAAGAACTATGCTGAGTGCAGCTTACTGCATTTGTAATGGCAATAAATTCATTTGTATGTGTGGAAAATACTATGTATAAGGGAAAGTCAGAGAGCCGATGACCGCAGCAAATCAGGCAAAGTCGACGTCTTGCTTGGGGAATTCCGAAAGATCCCTAAGCGTAAAGGTGGATTCTCAACCATACAGTAATGATCTCACTACCATGACAATCAATATTTGTGTATCTATTTGTGTATTGTACATTTTTAATTGGTGGGTACTTCCGAGAGGGGCATTTCGGGGTATTTCCTATAAGTAAAGCCTAGTTTTTCTGTGTGTGCTTTAATACTATTGTGTATTTATTGCAGTGAGAGCTGAAAATAAATACATGGAGAAAAGTTTGCATAGGATTAAGTGACTTTTAGTACATGAAATGCTATCAGAAGATTTGAGCTCCACATAACCAAATCGCGATTTTGCATTACCAGCGTCAAATTGGTACTTAAACCAAGTATTCAAATATAACACTATTCATATTAAAAATAGAAAACAGTTTTTGGTTTCGAACTTGCAACAATACTTAAAAGTGCTAGAAATTACTCATACGCAGCGTTTTCCGCATGAAATTTGTAGACTGTGTCTGAATAGAGACAAAAACACATACACATATATAATAAGTCAAATATAGGCATTACCGACTGCAGAATGCTTATCCACATCCCAAACGCTGCCAGATTAATGTTCCTGTTTGACACGCCCTCAATTGGTGTATATATATAATTTAGTCGCTGTCTTTTAGGTTTTTGTTGAAAAATTGTATAAAACAAGATTTATTTCAACTCTTTGGCACTTAAATTACCATACTAAAGCATCATAAATGATATACTATAAAATGTATTTTCCGATTTGCCACGTGCCTATTGGTTGAATTGCAAAACAAATTGAACTCAAGGTTCAAGAGTGCTGCATTAGCAGCATTGAAATGGTCTGCGTTCATTCAGACAGACAAGCGGACAAGAAGCCAACCAATATACTCATTTCACTTTTATGAATGAGTACAAAAATATATATGTATTTATCTGTTGGAAACAAACATCGATATTAATAAATGCGTAAATATAATATACACAAATGTAGAACATTCAGAATGGCATATATGTATGTATGTATAATTTTTACAGCTGTCTGCTGTGCGACTGCTGAAGCGGCCTGTGAATAAATTTATGTATACATGGAGTATACGTAAAAATATATGATCTACTTTTGAATAATCTCTAAGCACGTTTTCTTATCGAACTTGCTATTTGTTCTAAACATTTGTGCACTCGGGTTAAACTAAGACAATTTGTTGTAAATATATGTTTAACTTAATTAAATATTTGTAAAGCAACAAACAAGCAATTATGATAATTGCTTTCTGCTGGTTAGACAAAAAAATACCCTATGGATTGATTTGTCTTTTTTGTAATATATGTATCTATATCATTTAAAGTGTATGAAATGATTATTGACATCTTTTTTATACCCTGAACCCATTGAAAATGGGAAATCAGGGTATAATGGTTTTGTGAAAAAGTATGTAACGGGCAGAAGGAGGCGTGGTAGACCCCACAAAGTATATATATTCTTGATCAGCGTGACGAGCTGAGTCGATATAGCCCTGTCCGTCTGTCCGTCCGTCCGTCCGTCCGTCCGTCCGTCCGTCCGTCCGTCCGTCCGTCCGTATGAGTGCGTCGATCTCAGAAGTTATAAGAGCTAGAGAGCTGAAATTTGGCATGCATACTCGTGTGTACCATACGCAGTACGAGTTTGCTTTATTTTTTCGATAAATCGTCCGATAACTTTTTTATCGAGAATAATCGAAAAATTGATTTTGTTTTTTTAGCCTAATTTGAACANTACAGATTTTGGATACCACGCCCCCTTCGCCCCCAATTTGTAAAAAACGCATTTCAAGTACTAGAGACTTGTGCTTTGGAATGTACATACATTTGAACATTATGATTACGTTCTGAAAGTTTCATTAAGATTGTAGGTCTACAAAAGAAATTATTCAACAAATAAATTCTCATAATATTGCCCACATTGCAACGCAGCCCAAGCGCAGTCGCTGCTTACTGCGCAGTTAGCAGAGCGCAGGCTTATGCGTGCGTGTGGATGCATGTGTATGTATGTATGTGTGCATAAAAGAAGTGCGGAATGATTAGAGTATCAGCTTAGAGGGTTCAGGATATCTCCTAGTCGAGCAGTCTCGACTAGAGCCTTCTTACTTGTTTTATACAAAATTTTGTATACCACTGTTCAATGTATTATATTTCTAAAGAAAATATTATTGATATATTAATTTATTCATTAATTTTGGTTTGGTTGTTAAAACACTCTTATATTTTCCTGATATATTTACCGCATTAATTACTTTTTTTTCTCAGAATTAAGATCTCATTTGCATTTTTTAAAAATCAAATTTAATTATCTTTTATTTATCAAATTTATGAGAAATACATTTACTGACTTGCTCATATAGAAATCACGCAACGCACAATTTTTGCAATTATTTTAATGCATTATTTTGTCAATTCGGCATGCAGCCAAGTCTGGTAAACTCTGGGAAAGATCTCAGTAACTTCCCTTGCATTACAACATTATTTTCGACTCGTTTTCTTTTTGTTTGTTATTTGTTTTTTTAGTTTTATAAACATAATTTCACCAGTGAAGCAGCCAAATAAAATCAAGCGAGCCAAGTTTTGTGGTCACAGACAAATCGGAGGCGGCGTCGGCGTTGGCGTCGGAATAAGCAAATAAAAAATGATTTTGGCAAAGCAAATGCACAACAAGAAAATTAAAGTTGTGAATGAAACTTGATATTTGATTACAGTTTTAAATTTGTTGCAACCAAGCAAACAATCACACAGACAACCAGACAAACAGATAGTAGTGTGAAAAATACATTAATGATGAATATGCGGGGAAAAAAAGATTTAAAAAAAAAATCTGAATCAGAATCAGAATTCATATAGATTGCGCTAAATTGCAAACGTCAACGCAATGGAAATGAATGTCCGTCCGCTTGGCCGCTCGACTGTCCGCCTGTTTGTCTACACATCTGTGGCACTTGTCGGTGTATTTGTACATTAAAGCACGCGAATGACACTCACACAGCCTCAATCTGGGGACACACACACACCTACAACGACGCGCGAGAAAGTTGCGCACTATTTGGTCACACACGCGCGACTGAGGAAAAGACTGAAAGAGGGCGCCAGAGCCGGAGAAAAAGTTAGCAACCGAACCGCACGTGGCGACTAACAAGCGACAACTGAATTGTAAACTGAGTCCAAAGCATGCCAAAGCCACATCTGGAATCGTCAGTTCTCCAACGCTGAGTGAGAAACACAGCGCAGAGCATAGAGTGAGAAAAACCGGATTGTCGGATGCCGCCAAATCACAACTGAGCGTGAATGTTGTTGCCGGCGAAAGAGCAGAGCACAACAAATGTGCGAAGAGCGGCGCCATCGCAACGAGTGAGCGCGTCGAATTGAGTGGAAGTTTCTGTTCGAAGGCAACAGGTGTCGCTAGCTGCCTCGGCACTTAACTGTAAAGCACGACAGCAGAGCGCCAGTCTGTGTGTGTGTGTGCGTGTGTGAGTGTGACTCTAGCTAAATTGACGACAAATTGTTTGGCTTTGAGTGCGTTGGGGGTTTGATGACTCGGATTAAAGTTTGTTTTGTTTTAGTTGCTGGCGCCTGGCTTAATATTTCATTACCGTCCGCTGCGTATACGTAATATTTGTTGAATGAATTACCATTTTGTGCGGACAAATTGATCAAATCGCTAAATATTGGCGATTTAACGAGTTGGCGCTCAGCCGAAAATCTTCTATGCATAATCAAAACATGAATTCCAATTTGGACGATATGAATTTGGCCGTATCTTGATTATACTATATCAATTGATTAACTGTTCAAGTAGTCATAGTTTTCAGAACATTTTCGTTCAATTTTTATATTCTAATCAGAAAAAGCGGAAAAGCCAAATCGAGCAAATTTACTGCATTGGAAATATATATCTTAAGTATTTATATTTTTTAACAAATTTTATTTTACTGTACACATTTTTAAGTAGTTTTAATTGAAAATCGACTGTTGCCAGAATCCACTTTTAAGCCAGTTCTGGATTAAATTGTCGTAACCTTCGTCAAGACGAAGACTAAAGAAATTTTAGAATTTCACACCGCCTCAAGGCAAATCCGCAGCATGCCAATTAATCCAATTAGGGCAAACAATCCTCCGGACAGGGGACAGTAGATAGGGGTCAGGCGACAGTCGACAGTAGATGCTGTGGCAAGATAGCCTTAGAGTTAATGCGCCGGACCGAAATCAACTGCTTTGACCAATTAACAAAACAAATTAAGGAAAAGTGAGAAACTTGGAAAGAAATTTTAATGTTTCTGCTTGAGAGATTCAAGAAAATATATAATCCGGCGAACTTTGTCAGCGCCATTTAGATCAACAATAAGTTAAACAGCATTTATTTTGCTGGCCAAGGCGAAAGAGAAGTCGAGTGAAGCGAAGGACACATTTTGCCCATAGGATAATCAATTATGCAGCACACACAGCACAGCAGCTGCGAAGGCCCACAAAGGCCGAGATGCCAGCCCACAAACGGCAGCAGGAAGAAGGGAGCAAGAAGCAAGAGGCAAGCTTTTAATACTTTAATTGCCAGGAACTTAAATTATGCATAATGAGTATTATGAGAATCATAATTTCGAGTTTATTATGACATTGATTTGTTGTCTGGGCCAAGCGGATAACCAGATTACCCAGTCAGCCATAATCGGCTTAATCAAATAAACATATTAGGCAATCATCAATCAAGTGATGCGTTGGGTGGGCTTACAAGTAGGCGTCTACAACAAACTCATTAATGTGTCATGAGAGTGACTATTTATATAAATAAATACGACAAAATACACGAGACTAAATACAAAATCAGTTATATAATTGGAAATTGAATAATGGACTTGTACGATATGGAGAATCGTTTGATGGTACTGGACTGCCTCAGAGAGAACTCGGCTAATATGCGCATCGAGCAGACAAATTTGAAGGATCGCATCTCCCAGGCCTTGGTGCGAGCCCGATCCAGCTTGCTCTGTATTCGCCAGCTGAACTTTGAGCTGCAGGAAATGAAGCTGGCTGTGGACAGTGCATTGGCGACCGACCTTTCGGATTTCGTAGATTCGGGAAACGAACTAGCCAAAGATGCAGTGGAGGAGCGCATGATCCAATTTATAGATGGAATGGCACAAGACGTTCCCAATGGGGAAAGCCCATTCGAGTCGAATGAGAATTCGATTGACAAGCAGTAGACAGGACTACGCCACGCCCCGTTTGCTTAAAGCAGTCTGTTCACTATTTAAGTTGTATTTTTAGTGAAATGTTGTTGTTTAATAAGTCCACATTAAAATTACTCCAACCGCAGCGATTCGAAGCATGAAAACCACAAGAGCATTGAATTATTTACCGGGGGTAGAGTATAATCGATGTGTATATAACATGTGGGTGAGTGCATTATAATTGACCGTTAAACTTTAATATAGAGTCAATTTGAAAATGCTTTTTCAATTACACAAATTACAAATTTCGTACCATTTAATGTGAGGCTTTCAAAATAGTTCTAAAGAATTTTTACTCTGGCTAAACTAATATTTGACTCCATTCTTTTTAACTTTTCGGAGAGCTATTTGTGTTGCCCAATTAGTAATTATATGAAAATGCGAAGCAAACTCAATTTCACAAATATTTTGATAAATATTTTATAATAATTCTAGAGGTTTATACAAAAAATGTTAAACTCATTTTTAATATATTTGAAATTTTTGGGTAAAGCTTGAGTTATGTAACGAAATTTTTGCAGACTCAATAACAACGTAAGTTTATACCAAAAAACTTTATTACTTTTCTACCTTGACCCAAATCCTCATCAATTATGCCGGCAGGAAGGCCAACTGGCAGGCACGCAGGCCCCGACTCCTGCTGATTAAGCTGAGCAGAATTGTTGTCGTATAATGAAAAACTCACAAATCTGAGGGAAGCCAGCTTCGCTTGGTTACTTTGCCTAGAGCGCCATAAATCACAGTTCAACAGCACAAATATTTCAAGCCCCAAATCCAATGAGGTGCCGGGCTGACTGCAATGGATACCTTAGTTAACTGGATTATGTATGCCAATCAATCAATGMTTTTTTCATCGSCRCTCACTAAATTAAGTGTAAATATGTGCACAGCCTGAAAAACAGAACTGTAAGCTGTCAAATTTGTGGCCTCAGCATTGGCCTGCTGTTGATTGACGGGATTATGTGTCGTATGCGTAATATTTATTGTAAATAAATTGTGGACAGCTAATGTGTATGCTGAAGGTGTAAGAACAATTTATTTAAATTGATTTTCGTTTTAATAAAGTTGCTGGTTAGGAGAGAATAGGAATAAATAAAAGTACGAGGACGGGTTTAATGTACAGAAAGATTGTTAAAGTTGAGCTCCCTTAAATTCACTTTATATGACGATGGCATATGAAACTAATTGATTTTCTATAATAATTCATGGTAAAAAGAAAATCATATACAAGAATATGTATAAATATATGATACATGATATGTTTTAATAAGCTAATTGAATTAAATATTCAGCTTATAAATAACAAGACTTCCCACTGTCTCCTACATATGACCTGACGAAATATTTATTGGATAAAGACAAATGAAAGTCGCAGGGCAAAAAGTAAGCCCACTCTGTAGTTACCTATTGTAGATAACAACTGCACAAGCTGCATTCGATATTTGACTGCAGCCTGCTGCCTGTGTCTGCATTTCTCTCTCTGTGTGTGTGTGTGTGTGGGTGTGCGTGTCTGCACTCATGCATATGGTAAGCCGATAATGCACTGACAATGGCGCCATTGAGCAGTCCTTTCAGCCCAAATCGGCTTAAAGTCTTTTGACTTCGATTCGCTTAGTCACGGCTTAAGTAGATACTGTCAATTGATGGGCCATTAAATCGATAGTTTTAAGCCTTGAAATTAGTTTTCCTATAGAGATTCATTTCAAGCAAAATTATTCCACCAACTTCCAGCAGCAGCTTTAATTTTAACTATTTACATACATACATTTTTATTAATAAATATTCTTTTTGTGACAAACTGATTTAAATTTAATATAATATTAAATATCTTATATTCAAGCCGAATATAAGTGAGCTGAGTGTGAAATCAAATTCAAGATAACGTAATTTCAATTTGTTTTTATTATTTTGTTAATCACAGCTTGTTCAGTCTTTAGCCAGCTTTGACGAGAAGCAGAGGAGAAAAATAATAAATCATTTTATGAATTTTTTCAGCTGGATGGAAGACACTTTTATTAAATTTGCAGAGCAATAAATTTTGTTTTAATATTGACCAGCCAATGGAATTAATTGAAAAATTGCAGCAGCAGCCAATAAATCGAAAGCATGGAAAATCTTTTCTGCTGTTTGCTTAAACTTTACTCATTACTCGATTGGCTGTGCACGAACTATGTTCAGTTAGTCAAAAGTCGCACGGCTTGACTGCGCAGCTCCTTGAGAACTTTAAGTCAGCCAACAAACTAAACAACTATCAGTTGCACCTGCATCACTACGAACAGGTGTCAACGGCAAAAGCGACATCAACGACAGCCGCAACGCAACGTAGCGCATCGCACCGCACCGCATCGCCTTGCACTTCTTTTCGCTAATCAAGTACTTTGCGCTCGGTGGCATGCTTGATATCACCTTTGCCAGCACAAAACACGTACATGTGCTGTGGCTTACACTACGCTTGGCTTAGCTTCGCTTGCACGCAGATTACGCATACGCCGCGTTGCGTAATCGAGATAATCGCAAGGCCTGCGAGTCGACCGAGCAGCGAATAACTTCGGTAAAAACTTTAGTTGCCTGTTAAATTTACACCTGACGTTTGATTAATGTGTTGATAACACATTTCTTAATATTTTAATATTATATTTGAGCCATCGAGCACTCAAATCATTTATTTATTATTTATTTTTTTTGCAATATGATGGAGTATTATTTAGAAGCGTAAGAATGTCGTCATTATATCAATTCAAAATGAAGTCGCCAGAGCAACAAATGTTAATATTGTAGTATGATCGTGCCATATTCAGTTATTTGGAGATTACTCTTGAGATCGCTCCCCTAGATATTAATAAAGTCTTTTTATTATTTTATTGATAAGTGCATGAGAAATGAACATTTCTACAGCCGACGTAAGATATATATATATATATTTGTCTTTGTAAATAAAAAATTTTAGAGTCTGCCCATATGGCTCAGCTAAAGGCTGTCTAAAAAATTTGCTAGTAAGTTAAAGATAATCTAATATTTTAAAATAAAAACTAGATTTTGTTTTGTCTCTTAGCAATTTGTTTGTTTGTTTTCTTTTCATTTTGTTCTGTGATCAATTTTTCTTCTCTTGAAGCACTAGCTCAAAGAAATATATAGACATACAGACTTATATTTGCTTGCACCTGTACCTTTTGTATATACACCTAATAAATCGGACCCTCCCGGCTAGAGAGTTATTTTATTTGTTTCAGTTTTGGCTTGGAAAGATTTTTTTTGGTGCTTTTTGGAATTGCTTTTCATTTTTAACGTTTCGTTGGCAATTTAATTTTTGTGCTCTCCCTTATGGAGCGATGTTTGCGTTGTTTAAATTGTTTTT